TCTTCAAAGACATCGGTGGTCGAATACAGGGAGCCGATCAGCAAACTCAGCACGCGGAGTTCAGAACCCGTAACCGTGAATCTGACCAGTCTAGACCGCGGTGATGTAAACTGGTCCATCAAGGAAAATCCAGATGCCACAGGTGTCACAGATTGGCCAAAGCTGGTCTAGCTTTTGCTAGATGTGATCTACTCCTCAACACAACCTCCAGCTATGATCAAGCTCCGAGGTACTCAGTGCTGCAAAATACTTTCAGGTGATCACCATGAAGTTTAAATGCGCACACAAGCTCCTACCAGACTTAAACAAGCACTGCGCATTGGGATGACTTGGGAGAGCAGATCTGTGTACTACCGAGCGCGTCCCCAGGTCGCGGATAGAGGAACGGCCGTCATCTCGCGGCTAATCGTGAATAAGGTGGGCTTCGACCCTTCCGAATAAGCAGTCGCAGACGATCAGCGGCAGCGCTCGAGGATGTGGTTGGTTTACCTCCTGTCAAGGGTCCTCCGCACAAAACACCACAAATATCTGTGGACAGCGCTGTGACGTGGCGAGTGTGGACCGCCACTAAATATGGTCATTGCTTCTTGTCGAGAACAACTACCCAACAAGATTTTCCAGAAGAGGCGAGTGAACCGGAAACTGGCCACCGGCCCATTTGGAACATCAGTTCTGGCTTGCAGTCCGCGCTTGGTTGCTCAAAGGCTAGAGTGCATCCTCGAACAAGGCCTACTCTGAACTGGGTGACCGAGTAGTTCAGTAGCTCGCAACACACACAACTATGAGCGCGGTTACTCTTATGAATTCTCACTCCGAACCTTCATCAATAGAAAGACGTTCTACACCACACACGCCCTCTTGTTCTCCCATTCTCCCCCCACCTCACCTCTACCCCACCCCAACTCTCCCCTATCTCTTTCGGATACTTCAGACGATTGTACTAACAGTAGTACCTCGGGTGGAAATTATGCCGTTGTTCGCTCATGTCCTACCTTGACTATCATCCAAGTCTCATCGAATCTTCTACCAGCTGAAGCCCTTCTTCATCCTCGATGTCCTTTCAAATTAGCCACGTTTAATGTTCGTACACAAATGCGTATAGGACAACAGACGCCTTTAGCTCGTACGCTCGAAACCCTAGCCATCGATGTGTGTTGCATCCAAGAAACCCGCGTTCAAGACTCCAGCTCCATTATCCGATTGACATCCCCATCAAACCAATCTGTGAAGTTTAACTTACACCTCTCTGGGGATCCTGTGGCTGCGGCTTTTGGTCTCGCTGGTGGCGGTGTAGCCCTCCGTGACAGAACCGAAGCCGCCCTCCTGGCCTGGATCCCAATCGACAGTAGATTGTGCGCATTGAGAATCAGAGATTTGTGCAAGGTAAGCAGCCGTCGCCACTACAGACGAAACTTGTTTGTCGTTTTGGAGTACGCTTCAACGGACTGAAACCCAGATGCAGTCAAAGATGAATTTTACCACAATGTACACAATCC